TTTGTCATATATGGACTTTATGATGTTGAGGTGCTTTCCTTCATGTGCATTTTATTGAGAGTTTTTTTTTTTTACCATAAATCAATGTTGGATCTTGTCAAATGCTTTCTCTGCATCTATTGAGATGATCATGTGCTTTTTATTCCTCATTTTATTCATGTCATCTATCACATTGCTTGATTTGCCAATGTCGAACCATCCCTGTGTCACTGGTATAAATCCCATTTGATAATGGTGTATGATCCTTTTAATGTATTGCTGCATTTGGTTTGCCAATATTTTGTTGAGGATTTTTGCATCTATGTTCATCAGCAATATTGGCCTGTAATTTTCCTTCTCTGTGTTGTTCTTGTCTAGCTTTGGGATCATGGTGATGCTGGCTTCATAAAGTGTGTTAGGAAGTGTTCTGTATTCTTCATTTTTTTGGAATAGTTTCAGACGGATTGGTATTAAATCTTCTTTGAATGTTCGGTAGACTTCTCCAGAGAAGCCATCTGTTCCTGGACTTTAAGTTTTTTGGAGGGTTTCTGATTACTATTTCAATTTCTTTACTTGTGATTGTTCTATTCAGATTTTCTATTTCTTCTTGGTTCAGTTTTGGGACGTTGTGTGAGTCTAACAATTTATCCATTTCTCCTAGATTGTCCAATTTGTTGGCATATAGTTTTTCATAGCATTATCTTATAATTTTTTGTATTTCTGTGTATCCGTGGTAATTTCTTCTCTTTAATTTCTAATTGTATTTATTTGAGCCTTCTCTCTTCTTTTCTCAGTGAGTCTGGCTAAGGATATGTCAATTTTGTTTATCTTCTCAAAGAACTAGCTCTTTGTTTCATTGATCCTTTCTGCTGTCTTTTTTGTTTCAATTTCATTCATTTCTGCTCTAATTGTTATTATTTCCCTTCTTTTGCTGAATTTGGGCTTCATTTGTTCTTTTTGTAATTCTGTTAGCTTTAGTTTAAGATTGCTTCTTTGAGCCTTTTATTTTCTGTTAACATGGGCCTATTGCTATAAATTTCCCTCTTAGCACCACATTTGCTGCATCCCATTATGAGTTGGTATAATGTGTTTTCATTTTCATTTTTCTCCAGTTATTTTTTGATTTCTCCTTTAATTTCTTCAATGATCCATTGATTGTTCAGTAGCATGTTGTTTAGTCTCCACATCTTTGTCCCTTTCCTAGCTTTTTTCTTGTAATTGATTTCTAGTTTCATAGAATTATTGTTGGAGAAGATGCTAGATATTATTTCTATCTTCTTAAATTTATTGAGGCTTGCCTCTTTGCCAGCATGTGTTCTATCCTTGAGAATGTTCCCTGTGCACTTGAGAAGAATGTGTATTCTTCTGTTTTTGGATGGAGTGTTATATATATCTCTATAAAGTCCATCTGGTCTAGTTTTTCCTTTAATTCCACTATTTTACTGTTGACTTTTTGTCTGAATGATCTATCCATTGATGAAAGTGGGGTGTTGAGGTCCCCTACTATTATTGTGTTGATGTATTATCATTCATAGTACTCAATTATAATCCTTTTAATTCTATTAGGTAGGTAATGATGTCCCTTCTTTCAATCTTGATTTTAGTAATTTGAGACTTTTTTTTGGTTAGTTTAGCTAAAGTTTTGTCAATTTGCTTGATCTTTTCAAGGAACCAATTTTCAATTTGATTTTCTCTATTAGTTTTCTCTTCTCTACTTCATTAATTTTTGCTCTGATCTTCATTATTGCCTTCTTTCTGCTTGCTTCTGGTTCATTTTGCCCATTTATTTTGTGTCATAAGTTGCAAGGTTGGGTTATTGATTTGATACACATTTTTTTTAAGATAGCTGCTTATTGGCATAAATCTCCCTCTCAGCAATGATTAAGCTTTATGTTCTTGGGTGCTCCTGTGTTGGGTGTATGTATATGTATAAGTATTATGTCCTTTTGGTAGAGTGTCCCTTTTATCATTATCTACTGCCCCCGTTTGTCTCTTGTTGCCTTTTTTGTCTTGAAGTCCACTTGTCTGATATGATTATGGCAACACCTGCTATCCTTTCTTTGCCATTATCTTGGAGTATTATCCCATCCACCTTCTTTGTGTGGTTATTGTTAAATATACTATATATCCCACATTAAAATTCTATACATATTTTTTACAATTGCTTCTTAAATCAGTTGAGAAGATTGGAGAAGAAATACTCAATTATACTATCTTTTATAATTATCCACATAATTACCTTTACTGATCCTCTTTGTATTTTGTGTGGATTCAAATTACTGTCTTTCAGCCTGAAGAACTTCGTTAGTTTTTTTTGTAAGAGAGTTCTGCTAGCAACAGATTCTCTCAGTTTTTGTTATCTGGAAATATCTATATATTTCACCTTTATTTTTGAAAGATAATTTTGATGAACATAAGATTCTTGGTTGACAGGTTTTTCTTCTTCCAGTACTTTAAACATATGATTCCACTGCCTTTTGGCTCCATTGTTTCTGATAAGAAAGTCAGCTGTTAATCTTATTAGGGCTCTCATATGTGATGAGTCATTTTTCTCTTGGTGCTTTCAAGTTTTTCTTTTGGGCCTTCAGCATTTTTTTTGTAATGTGTTTGGGAGTAGATTTCTTTGCTTTTATCCTATATGGAGTCCACTCAGGTTCTTACGTGTGTAAATAACGTTTTTCATCAAATTTAGAAAGTTTTCAACCATTATTTCTTTGAATGTTTTTCTCTTCTTTTCTCTTGTCTCCTCTTATGTTACTCGCTTAATGCATATATTGGTGCAGTTAATTGTATCAAACATTTCTTTGAGAATGTTTGTTTTCCTTCATTCTTTTTTCTGTTTTTCCTGCACTGTTGCAATAATTTCCTAGTTTTTCCAGCATCAGTATCTTACATCCTCGAAATTGCTGTATTAAATGAAACCATATTAATATTTGTGAAACATTGGTTTAGACACATCAGTTTCCAACTTGAAAGCTTCCAATTACTCTTCATCATCTATATTGCATATTAATTTTACAGATTGCCATTGTATGGCTCCTTTGTGCCTCATCAACATTATTTTAACTATTCTCCTACATGAATTATTTAATCTACCCAAATTGGCCTACCCATTATTCCCTCAACATACTAGGCACTTTCTGTCAAAAAAGGCATGTGCTCTATTACCCAAATCCTGGCCTTTAATGCTCAATCTAGCTTCTAGGAAGGAAAGTCTTCTATTATAAAAGGAAACCACAGTTTTATTCTTAATCCCTACAGCATTTGATGTCTATCACTCTTTTGGTTATGGTACCTCATGTTGTCATTTTTATATTTATTTTGTTTAATCTAGTAGTTAAGCGTCTTGGTGGTCAGTTATTTCTTTGTGCCTTGGCACTTAGTACAGTACTCCGAACATAAGCAGAAGCGATAAACACAGTTGTTGATAATGATGTTTTATACAACATGACAGCTAAGCATGTTTAAATTACTACAGACAACAAAGCAGAAACCTTAACCCTAAAATTAATTATTGGAGTTGGAAATTGAAGTAAAACATTAATTAATTAGATAATTATTCTTTTCTACTGAAATCAGTGCATGATACTGATGAGTATTGATCAAAAAATAGTAATTGGTTCCATATATATAAACAAGTGGAAATACACTGTTTTGATTATTTAATGGCTTGGCAATTATTAGAGAAGCACTGAATGAAAAAGACATTAACTGAGAATAATGGGTCTCTTTCCTGGCTGTGTCACTTCCTTCAGTTCTCTCTATTCCCACTTATGAGCAAAACCAGTAATCACCAACCAGTTGTTCCTCACCCCTAAGGCCATGGTTTAGAGTGAGTCCCTGAGCCAAAGTTGTCTCTTTGTAAGGCATCATGGTCTACATATACTGTCAGCAGTTCTTTTTTATACATAATACAGATACTTTTTAATCTTTCTTCATATTTTGAATGATTATGACCTATATCTTATTAGTTGACATAGAGTAAAAGAAAGACAAGGCAATTTCAGAAAGCATGCAATGGAGCAGGTAAGGTATGTTGTATGCTGTTACCCTGCCCTTTAAACAAATTTAATAAAACTATCTTGACATCCTATTTGGATTTAGCTGTACCATTCTGAAGCTGTCCTGAAAATGTAAACTTACATACATGTAAATGTCCCTCCTCATAATAGGTACCTGTGTCTATAAACAATTGTGGCAACACAAGAATAAATAAGGTGCTTATTAAAATAAAAAACAAACATATCATCTAAAAAACATTTAAATTTTATCAAAATGAGATGGAATTATAAGGAAAAGCATAACTAGAAAGATAAGTGTGTTATATGCAGATGTAGCTTTCCTTCCATTTCCTACTCTTTTTGATCCTTTATTCCAAATCTTATGGAGTCTAAACAACATAACCTTTCCTCTACAGGAAACTTATTTTTGTTTTATTTAAATAGAGTACATCATTAAAATTTTTAAAAGTCATGAAATGTACCATCTGTGTTCATTGTGTAATGGACTTTAAATGAATTTGACAAAAATGCAGTGATTTTGATAGTCTATCATAAGCTTTAAATGGCAGATCTTTCTGCATATGAAAGGGGTTTGCTTGTATTATAGATAAAATTTTGAGCCTAGTATGGATTTTCATAACAGTACATTTCATTATGCAGATAAGTGTGTACGTGTGTATGTGTTTGTCTTCAATTCTAAAGTTGTTTATTTTACCTTGAAACTTAAATAATTAAAATAACTTTATGAGACTAGGTTTATAGACAGAGAATGTAAAGCATACAAATATGATAAGTTTACAAATAACTTTATTGATTAGATAGCAGTCAATTGTTAGGACTCAACAAATTGTTTAGAAATTCAACAAAAATGTTAGGATGCATAGACGTGTTTATCCTATTAAGAAAAACACATTGTTATATTTTCTTTTTTTCTTTATATTTCTTTAGTCAAACTTTTTAAATTCTCACGGATGAGGGGAATTTAAATCATACTTAATAAAATTCTTTTTCTTTTTTTAGGAAAAAGTCAAAGAGAAGGAAGAAAATCTGAATCTTGTAAACCAATTCTTAAAGTAGAATACAAGACCTGTAGAAATAGGTATGCACTTTTACTTTTGGAGATAGGGGAAAATATATAAGAATCAGAGCCAAGAAGGTCGGATAACCTTTAATGTTTATGTATTGTTTAAAGTTTTACATAATTATATGTATATTAACTGACTGAATCCTCTTCATTGATATTAACAGCTTTCTTATTGTTGAATAGGCATCTCTATGATATTTTTATTATGAATATTTCAAATAGCAGCTGTTAATTATTATAAATTTCTATGAATATTTAGATGAGTATTATATACATTAATTTTAACAATGTAGGACTTTTTAGCCATGCACATTACAAGTAGCAATTATTCAGCATTATTAAGCAGAAGCTATGTACCTATTGGTATTGCACGTGAAAGAATTAAATACTAAAATACATAACCAAGTCTCTGTACTTTAGGATCTTACATTCTGAAATTGGAAGGATTATAGTCTTGGAAAGATAAGCAGTTATGCATGTTGGCATAATAGTATTAAATTTTAAGATATAGAAAATTACATAAAAATAATATTTAATAAAGTTTTATCTTGTCTAACATATGTAGCAGACATATCCTGTATGTCAACAGTGTTCTTTTTACTTGCAATAATTGTTAATGGCAATATTCGCATCCAGAATTACCATAATTACAAATCTTGCCTAAACCTTAATTTTATTTTAACTCTAAGTTGGATAATCCTACTTTATGTTACTTATGTGCTCACACTAGAATGTTTTCTTGGCATCATAGGTACATTTAATGTTTTTTATACTTGCTCTTCTAAAGGTTTAATAGTATAGAATCATAGTCATTTTTAATTAATTAGTATATATATGTATATACTAGATAGATACCTCTTTAGCCCGGGTACTGTTACTATGCATAACTAGTAAAAGTGACCACAGTTTTATACTGTTATAACTAGATTATTAAAACATTTCAAAATTACTAATTATGCATGGAAACAGTTTACATATATTCTTTTCCTTCTTAAAATATTGTTTGTAATTTAGACCTTGTTTGAGTCTGCAGGTTCACTATTATTTACATTAGCTGCTATGTAGTGTTGCACTTCAAGGATTATTGAAGTGTGGGGTACTATATTAACTATTAGTAGCAGCTTGTGGGGTTTTTTCTTTTTTGTTTTTAAAAGTTTTTCTCCTTCAGTTTTGGACTACCAGGACCTCTTATAATTTCTATTGTATCATCTGCTAGTATCCAGTCTTTTGTTTTCTATAGACTGAGAAATTTGAAACCCAAATTTGTAAAATGAGAGTAAATAGGTTCATGTGAAGGCATGAGGTTTTCCATGACAAAGTGCGTCATCCATGGACTTTGACATCTAATTTGTTTCTCAGAGGCTTTTTAAAAAATGTGTTTCTATGAGGTGCTCACCAATATTCAGCTTAATTCAATTAAAACGATATATATTAAGATACTACTATGCACTGTGCAATTTGTTTGATGTTCTAAAATGAAAGTGAATACTGCCTTCTTTTGAATTTGTTATGGTCTAGTAGCAGAAGTGAGGCAATAAACTAGTGGTTTCTGTACAACATGTGAGGTGCTTTTATGGAGATATGCTATGAGAACACAGCAAAAGGGCACCTAACCCAGCCTAGAGGGAGTGGGAAGAACAGTGAAGAGAGATCAGTGAAATTCTTCTTGGGAGAGGAGATGCCTGAGATGGGACTTAAGGGATGATAGGATGGTGCTAGGCAAAGGGAGAAAGGCGTGAAGGTGAAGGTGAAGAGAATACTTCAGGAGTCAGGAATTCAAGTCAAAGCAGGGTGAACTACTGATTAAAATCGTTAGCTTTGGAGTAAGACAGCTATGTGACCTTGAAAATTTTAATTTACTCTTTTAAATTTTAATTTCTTCATTAACAATATCCATCTCGCTGTGATGTTTGTGAGGATTAAATGAAATTATGCATAGAGTTTGTAATGTCGTAAGTTTGATGAATGGCTCATAGTGGATTTCTTAATAAAAGGAAATTATTATGATCATCATCAAAGCTATGATATTCCACATTGTTAAAATTATTCAACTGATCCTAAATTAATGATTTGTTCTAGTAATTAGTAATCCAACTTTGTATAGAAGTAATTCTTCACATTTCTAATGAGAAATAATTATATATTATTGATCATAATTACTATCATCTCATTTATTGTGCACTTCAGTACACTGTGTCTATTTGTTGTGATTACTGCTATATTAGAAAAGTCACGTCTAGAAGCAGTGGTTCCTCAACTCAGAACACAAGGAGACTGAAAATCAGAGGAACACTGAAGTTAAGGGTACTGAAAAATATTGCCAGGCAAAATGGGCCATAGCCTGGAAGTGGAATTAGAGACTATATTTCCACTCCATCTAGTACAGAGTAGAAACTTTGTGAAGTCAAAAACTGGAACGGCTGTGGCAGGAGCAGGAACTTCAAGAAGAGTTTTACCGTATATGCTGCAACAATAAGGCCTCTTAAAGGACTGCATAGATAGCAGATGTAAGGGTTATGTTTTATGCTTAATTTTATCTTAGACCAGTCATTCACAAACTTTCTTTACATTTCTAGGGATGAACAACCATTCTGCTTAGGAATCGTTGGTCCCCAGTCACCAATTTGCTTACTGGCACTCCAACCACAATTGGCTCTAGGCTTAATAATTTTATCCTCTTCAATAAAAGGAATAATGATCTCTCTACCTGCTATGACAATAGCATTGTCATGTTCTCTGTAGTTTACAAAAATTACTTTCTACTTGTCCTTTAATCCCTTCCTATCATGGCCACCTACTGATAGACTTCTTGTGTAGTTAAGTTCTCCAAGCCTCAGTATACCCATCTGTTAAGTGGAAATAATAATAGCAATTCTCTCATTAGGATATCATAATGATTAAATACAATAATGCCTGTAAAATTCTTCACACAATACCTGGAACATCATAAATACTCAACAAATGTTATTTTAATACATATTATATTATGCTACACAATTGTTTAATCCTGCTGCCCTTCATTGAGACAAAATTTTAATGTTTTTTTCTTTGTTATATTTTTTTCTACTTTATAAGTTATACAGTAAAATAGACTTTTTTCTTTTGGTATACAGTTCTATGGATTTTAACATCTGTATAGAATCCTAAAGTCACCACCACAGTAAGAATATAGCAAATTTCCATACCCCCAAAATTCTCATATTTTATCCTTTATGGTCACACCTTTCCCCAGGTCTAACTCCTGGTAACCACTGATCTCTTCTCCGTCTCTATAGTTTTGCCTTTTTGAGATGTCATATAAATGCAGTTATATATTGTGTAACCTTTCAGCCTAGCTTCTTTCACTCAACATAATGCCTTTGAGATTTATCCAAGTTGTTGTTGATAATTTTTTATTTTTATTAATGTTTTCTTTATGTATGAAGACATTGTCAATTATGTAGTTATTTATTTCTTTTATAATAATCCATCTGATAAGTATCCCAAGATACAATTGTATTAAATAGTAAAGGAGGCCATTTAATGTGGCATAGCATTTACCAAATTGTGTTCCTTTAATCACTAACAGTATCCATGGAAAAAAGGAATCTGTAATCAAATAAATTTGAGAAATCTGAGAAATTCTGGGTTATGTAAAAGTAAATTTGATTTTTTATAATTTCTCAGAATCTTTAATATATGACATGAATTAGAAATTTTTAAAAGGGAGATATAATGGTTTTCAAGTGTTTGTCAAATTATTAAATTACGAAAATTCTTTTTTGCAGAACACCTAATAAGTTATATTCCACAGTTTGAGAAACATTAGACTAGAAATGAATAATGTGGACTTTGGAGTCTGGATTTGAATCTTTTTCTGCTGCTCACTAGATGCTTGACTCTGAACAAGTTATTTAACCTGTATTAATTCCAGGTTCCCCATCTTCAAAATGGGTAGTAGCACTTTCTTTGTCAGGGTTGAGGTTTACAGAGTTATGAGGATTACATAAAATTTACTTTATATATATACATAGCACAATATATGCCACATGGTAAGCATTCAGTAAATTGTGGCTATTTATTACTACAGGCAGTGTAGACCACTGTTTAGGAGAATAGGCTTTGAAGTCTGATAGATCTGTTTTCTTCTGGGTTTTTCTGCTTAGTTGTCATTTAACTTTGTTAATAAAATGAGAACAATACCTATGAGGATTTAATGTGATAATTAAATATCTAATGCAATTATCTGTGAGTGGTTCCTTAAGCATTTTCCTGAGGAAATCACTTCATATTCAGTCATTCAGTAGTCTACAGAAACGTGCGTATATATCAACAGTTATCTTCAGATCCAGTGTTTTTTGATGCAGAGTCATAACAAGGACAGAAAAGGTTTTGCTTCCTTGCTGTAGTTTTAGAAAGGCTATATTTTCCAATGTACATACAAAAATATGGAGAGTAAATTGCTTCTTAACCTATGTTTGGATTAATACTAGGATATGAGAGTAAATTCACCCACTCTTACATAGAAAAAATAGATATTTATGATCTTTATTAATATTTGGAGCAGATAGTTAAGCTCAATATGTATGAAAAGATTACGTTCTCCAAGTCTTGACCTTTGTTGCAAAACAAAACAACAAACACAAGTGCAAAAACTCATACTCGTTTCATGCGAAATGATTTTTAAATCTGAAGAAATCTTCTTAATGGTATGTGTATATTTTATAGAAAAAACAAACTTGCTTATTATCACCATTAGAAGGTTGGTAATTTACTATGTCAAATTACTGGGGCAAGACTAACTCAGGTCAACTTATGCAGGACTCGAGGAAAATAAAATAGAGCATTTTTCCTTATTTAGCTTACAACTCAAATATTTATGTCAAAACACTGAGACAGAGCTATAAGGAAAAAAGTAGTACAAGCATTTTGTATGTAAGTTTTGATGGAGACTTTGAAAAAGGTTTCGTTGTTTTTATATAGCCAGCATAAGATTAGCAAATGTTCCATTGGTAATATTTGGTACTATGTATAGTACAAAATGGAAGAGAAAGGGAAATCTTATAGAGTGATTTCTAGAAACAAGTAGATTCCGCAGTTTAGCAGATGGATGGAAGTGAATTATTTATAGAAGCATATGTTCTTAAAAAATTTTGAGACAATGGAAGTCTCTAGTTCTTCTTGAAAAATTTTTTGGAGGAGAGTATTTTCAATTTGGTATTTACTTATTGAAAATACTTCATATCAACACATATTTTCTTTTATATACATAACTAGAGATAAAGTTATTAATTTGAGAAAAGTGAAAAATTATGAAACTATTTCATAACTTTCAGGCAACTATAGTATTTTATAGTCATCTCAGCCCCGTTCTTTTATCTAATTGTATCTTGCAACTAAAAGAGACTAAAAATTTTGTTTGAAGTTAGTTTTACAAGCTAAATAGAACTGTCTGGCCCTAGGGAAAATCAAGAAGATCACATTTATTTTTGGTGAATTATCTTTCGCTTACCTATTGGTTTCCTCCATCTTTTCATCGTAACCCTTTTTCCATAGAAATTCCATTATATAGAATTTTCATGTTACCTTGTACCATTCTGGGCTTGCCACTGTCACATTTCATTTCATATTGAAATTTGCCTCTTTTGTCTAGAGATTTTGGGCCTCACATGCCAACTGCTTAATATGTTAAATTAACATAGCCTAATGTTCTAATGGTAGTGATTTAGATTTGGAGAACCAACTAATATGTATGTGAAGATATCCTTTTGAATCACTGAGTACCTCCACCTCCCTCCAACCTCATTGCCTTTCCCCCACCCCACCTCAACACTTTTAGACTGATTCATTAGTAATTTTAATGGTGAGAATGTACATCCATAAAAAGGGAAATGATAGCATAGTAAATTGTTGGGTGAGATATCTTGGGCCAGGAAAGACTTTTGCACTCTGTCAAATTACACTATGTATAATACCCATCAAACCCATTTTTTATTGTCTCAGTCCTGTGACATTGTGTCAGCTTAAAGAACTTCTCAATCTCATTAGCTTTTTTCCCTATATAGTGAACCATTCATAATATTTTCTGGTGGACTGTCCTATGACAAAGCTTGCAGAAGACCAAGTTTAACCATCATGCATGGAAAAGCAATTACAGTGCTTGAAATGGATCATCCGATTGTTGAATTTCTAACATTATGTGAAACACCCTATCCAAATGGTAAGTAACTAAAATGAAACTATTAATGTTTAAAAATCATTTTTGAAATGCTAAGTTCCTATAAAATTAAGCTTAAATATTTTTAGTTTTGGCAGTTGACATCTACTGTGGTACAACACTGTGAGCTACAGGTGCTGGAGCAGGTTCTGCAACTGTACCTATATGACAAACTGGAAGTAAGACAGATGTAGTGCAGCAGTGCTGGAGTTTCAGGTTCTAATATCAGGTAAGTGCTTTAAACTTTGATAAGGATGGTGGAAGCTGAGCTGGGAGGGTCAGATAGGGCTCGGGGTGAAATCACTTGGGGAAACTGAGGTCTTCTAATAGCCTTTCCTAGACCAGCTCCACCCATCCCATTCCAATGCCAATCAAAGTTAAAGCACTTACCTAATATCAGTGATCTGTAGCTCTGGTGGTGCTGCATCTGTTTCACATGTGGCTTTGCTTCAGATGCAACTGCAGCACCTGTGATTATTCTAGGATTGCTGATGTATGGTTAGTGATTTATTTCAATTTTGAGTATAATTATCAGAAGGACCTTTGGGAGGAGATGCTTATATATTTTTATCATCTCAAATATAAATACTTTTTTAAAGGTAAAAACTAAATTATATGCAAACCGTGTAATGGAATTTAATGATGAAATATTTTACTAACGAAATCTAAAAATTGAGAAGGGGTGAAACATAAAAAGAGAAATATGAGTTTATGATTAAAACAACATAGTGGGTATATACATTACTACATCGTCAAGAAGTAACAAAGAAGGGACAAAACACTGGAATTAGAGACAGAATATTTGGGTTTATGATTTAGCTCTGCCATTTACTAGCTATGTGACCTTGAGCAAGTCAGTTTACATTTGTGAGTTTGATTTGTTGTTTATAGAAAGAGAATAATAATATTGACTCCACCTGATTATTGGAAGGCCAAAGTGAACATACTTTATAAACTATAAAGATATATAAATTGTGAGTTTTATTATACATATATAATTTTAAATTCTTTAGTTTCATATTTAAAAGATGGGATAAATTGATATGAAATAACAATCAAAATGTGACACTTTATTTCCAGAGTTACTGGGGACAGATAAATTACCTGTGTTGTTAATTAGTCATAAATATTTATGGGATGCTTCTATAGTCTCATTACTACAAGGACTTGTTGATAATACAGATAAAGTATGAAACTGATCTCTGATGTCAAATCACAAAATCTGGTCAAATTAAGGAGATAATTGTGACTTAAGTTTAAAAAATATAACACCTTATTTAAGTGCTCAGTTATATGGGTCAGAGTTTAAATAATGTACTAATTTTAGACTGGTCAGATAATCAGTGATTGAAATATTCATGCAAAGCTTCATGGAAAAAGTAGGATTTAGGCCTTGAAGAATGACTTGGACCTTGGAAAGGATATTGAGTAAAGGTTGTAGAAACTGTGAGGATTGCTAGATTGAGATCAATTTACAGAAAGCATTGAACACCTTTTGGAGATATTTGGAAATAGGCAGCTACAGAGGAATTTTGAGGAAATAATAAGATGAAAGAAGGCAATGTTTTTAGTAGATTTGCCCAAAAGGAGTGTGTGAGTTTGAAGAGAGACACTGAAATCTAAAATTCCAGATTCCAGCTGAGAGGCCTTTATGATAATGTGCATTAAAATGGTCAAGATCTGAAACAGAGTGCTGCCTGTAGGAATGGAAGGAGGAAAACTCGTTGAATTTGGTCAACAATTGGATTAGGGAGTGACATGATAGATAACTCAAAGACAACAATATATTTTTTTATATTCAGTAATAATAGTTTTTGGAAAGAGAGAAAGATAAGCCTGATTATGAGTCAGTAGAGTTGTTTAGAGAACAGAAAAAGAGAGAAAAGTCTTTAATATTTATGAATAATCAGAATACAGATATTCTTTGGAGTTAGGAGAAAGAATAATAAAGGAACAAAGGAAGAATGAATGGAGGACCAAAGCTGAGCTTAGGAAAATGCTTCCTATTGAAGAGCCTAGAGAAGGAAGAAGTGCATGCCAGAAATAGAAACTGAAATGGGTGGTTGCAAAGATCAAACACTATATGTGTCTGCGTATATAAATTTCTGCACATCAGTGGAGGTGTTAGGACAATTTCTAATAATGTTAAATTATAAATGTTCTCTAACCAAGTCTAATCACTTCCAAGCCACATATACAAGACTTTGTTTTTCAGAGAAGTGATAATGAGGATAGAACTTATTTGTAAGAGGCTAGAAGAAATAGTTTAGCTTTACACAGTAAATCATAAATGTACTTTATTAACTATTGCTAATTAAAACAATAATACATGAAAATGCCAGAAAAGAACCCTACAATACACAACAGGATATAATGAAAACTTTCTTACTGGCCTTCCAGAGGCAACAACTGTTAACTGTTTCTTATGTATTCTCCCCAAAATAATCTATTGCATGTGCCTATGTGTACTTATTTATGTACGTATACATTATCTCTTTTCATTACAAATGACAGTATACTCTGTGTGCTGTTCTGTATCGTACTTTTATTTCACTTAACAGTATATTTTGATTATAATTCCATATTAGCAAATATGGAACTTTAATTTTCTTTACAGCCGCATAGTGATAAATGTTATGCATATGATAAACAAAATAAATTTATTAACAATTTTTAATATTGCTGAATCACTTGTGACATCTGACAATTCAATCCATTTTTCAAAGCCTACAAATGCCTAATCCTCTTATCTCAGGGGAACACATTGCCCAGAATAACTAACCAACTACACCTGGAATTCATCAGTTTCACATCTAGATTTAACTGTATCTAGTCCTTTACAAGTGTTATAAATAGTGGATTTCTCTTCAGAGACGTAGTAATTATGATAAAGCTGTTCACTTTATTGGGGGCTAGGGTTAAAAAAACTGAGCCTGCTCAAAAATGAACCAGTTAATCTAATAAATGAAGTAATGCAGTTGGGATCTATTGAGCACCTACTATGTGTCAGGCTTTGCATTAAACATCTTCCTATACATCTAATCTTCATAACAGTATAACGCAGTTGTTATTTTGCCATTTCAGTGGGTAAAGAAATTGAATGTCAAAGAAGTTAACTAATTTGCCTAAGATCAAACTGTTAATAAATAATAGACATAGAACTGAACCCAATACTGGCTCCTAAGGAAATCTTTTTGTTCAATGGATACCACAGTACACCGAGTATTTCTACAAAGGTGAAACTTTTGCTACTAGTTTTTACTTGAAAAGAAACAACATTATCTACAATAGATGTAACTACCTAAAATGCTAATTTATGACTTTTGCTCATTCGTGCCAATGTCTCAGCTATTTTATTTTTGTGTCAATTGCTTCCAAACCAATGATTTTCCTAAAGAGGAGAGAGAAGACAAAGAGGCAACTAGTAGTATAGAACCCCTATTTTCTTCAAACTGAAAACCAAACCAAAAAAACCCCAACAAACCCCAAACCCCAAAGTTTTGAAACAATGTTGAAAAACTTAAAACAGCTTTAAGAGATACGGGAGAAGTGGGCAGGAAGCCTCAGTTTGAGAACAGTTTAAGTAGCAAACTGTGAGGACTTTATACTGTCACACAGATATCACACAGATATGTACTCAAACAAGGGCATGCTCCTCAGTTTTTTTGTTTTTTGTTTCTATTTTTTCTCTCATAGCATGTGACTTATAAGCATAAATATGAATAGTTTCTGTAGCTTCTCAGGACTGGAAGGACTATGAAAACCATCTATTCCAGTTTCCCATCCGAGAGTTGAATACTCTGAACAAAATTCTTGCCAACTGATTGTTAAGTTTAGGATTAAGTACCTCTTAAATTAGCAAGTGGAAACTGCTGGTATAATGAAAACAGGATGGAGTTTAGAGTCTGAAGGCCTGGGTTAAGTCTTCAGCGCTATCACTTGCTAGCTTTGTAACGGTGTGCCGATCTCATAAACTCTTTGGACCTCAGTTTTCTCTATGAAACGGAAAAATAGTAATACCTGCTCCAGCTGCTAAGAATCAAATGGCACATAGGTAAACTGTAAAATGTTTTTGTAAATAGTTTTTCTTTAAATTGAGAATAACACTTTGTGGCTTTCCCTTATTAGTCCTTTATTATAGGTGGAAAGCAGTGTCTTCCCTGACCACTATAACTAAATTAGCACTCCCCCACCAACCACAAGTCATTCTTATACCATTATCCTTATTTTTTTCATAGCTCATGTTACCTTCTGCATTCTTATGTATTTAGTACTTGTTCATGGTTTGACTACATCCCTAGAATGTAAGCTCCATGAGAACAAGGACCTTGTCAATCTTATTCTCCATATGTCTTTTGTTCTTAGAATAGTTTCTGGAATATATTGAAGAAAGGAAGGGAGGGTTGAATTTTAAGAACTTGAAAATCGTAGACTATCCTTAGACGCTCTGCTTTTTTGAGATATATACTCTTGGACACATAGTAGGCAATCTTTAAGTACATGTTAAATTACATTGAATTGAAAGTAAATTTTTTGCTGTATGGAGTGTTGCTCTCATCGGGAGTTGAATATGTATCATAGCCCAGAGAAGCAAAACTACTATTTCCTTATGTCTCCTTGTAGGCGTGAACTCAGATCTAAAATGGAAGGTTATGGAAGAATAAGATAAATGTTTGTGAGATGGAGGTGACAGGCTCCCTCTCTTCATGTAATCTACTACTATCACCACCTCATGATTATTGAGATATATTTAACTATGCTATGCACCTTCTCATTTTTTTGTTGTTTCCTGTAATGATCTTAAACATGAAGTTTGAGAAACACAATATAGATTTTTTAAAAGAGCTCTTTACGTCTTACTTTGGCTCATTTTGGTCTTCTCAAATCATTTAAATAACATTTATACAAGAGATAAGGGAAGTGCAAGTTTGGTGCTTTTATGAAATGTGAGATATGAAAACTTTTCCATTTTTTCTTTTTTATTTGTAGAATTTCAAGAACCCTATGCTGTCGTAGTACTTCTGGAGAAAGATCTCATTGTAGTTGATCTGACACAAAGCAAGTAAGTTATCCATGTACAGATTAATACTAATTATTTTTAAATTCTATCCACAAATAAATAGAGGAAGACATTATAGATAATTGGTATTAGTATTCTTTAGGTGGTAAATCTTCTTTATGTGGAATATTGCTTTACTAGAATTATGGAAATATAATTTGGTTCAATAATGAAAATTAAACCAGGAGAGTTTAGGGGACACTAAGGAAATTGTGAGATGTTTTAAAGGTAAGACCTAATGTTTGGAAAGATGCATTTGAAGACTCAGGACACACAAAATGGATCACATTTCTACTGTTTCCCTAAGCAAAAGCAACTGTTACGAAAACTTGTACAATATACTGTCTGGCCATCTGTAAATCTATTGACTAAAGGAAAATGGCACATGATGAAAGTATTACTGAACTACTGCAGCAGACAATACAGAAGAGCAGGATCTCCAGGGCAGAGAAGATAGAGGCCCTCTTTTACTTTCTTTTCTTTTTCATTATGTTGTGGACAATGGAAATGGATATAAAATATTGGTATTAGAGTGGTGCTTTCTACTTATTTACATAGACAGTAAAAGTAGCCTTGAAATTGATGAACACTGTCTTCGTGCTGCACGTTTTCATTATAAATGATAGGCATAAAACTGATTTTTCCCTCATTCTGTGCCCTAGACTCTCTGATCTTTTAGCCCCTTGTGTTTGTAGAATTTTTGTACATGTTCTCTCCTCTTCATGGAATAGTCTTCCTTTCCTTTTTCTCCTTATTAACTAACATCTTATCTATAAGACTCAATTCAGACATCATTTCCTCATGGGAAAAAAATTTTCACTACCTGTATAATTTGGTCAAATATCCTATTAAAGGCTCTCATAGCTCCTGTATTCCACTCCTTCATAGCTTTCACACAGATAAAATTTTCCATTTATTATTGTTTTAAAGATTGTCTCCCTACTAGCCTGTAGGCCTCCTGAAGGAGGGGCCTTGTCCCCTCATGGAGTAAGTTCTCAATAAATTTTTGCTGAATGAATTACAATCTGAGTTCTGCTTTCCATGTAGTTTGTAAATATAAAAGCCAAAGCTCTTTCATGCTAATTTGCAGCATATAACATTTCAATATTTTGAAAGAGATATAGGATTTGGGCCCTAAGATCATCATAACTGAATTCTGCCTAGCTGCTCTATTTATCAACATTAAACTTGATTAAGTTTTGGGTACATGTATGGATTTATGCTTCTTCCTCTAATTTCTAATGTAACTTTTATTAAAATGTACTCTTCTGGGGCCAGACTTATGGTATAGTGGTTAAGCTCATGTGTTCCGCTTCGGCGGTCCAGGGTTTGCCAGTTTGGATCCTGGTTGCAGACCTATACACTGTTCATCAAGCCACACTGTGGTAGCATCCCAGATAAAAATAGAGGAAGATTGGCACGGATGTTAGTTTGGGGACAATCTTCCTCAAGCAAAAAGAGGAAGATTGGCAACAGATGTTAGCTTAGGGCCAATCTTTCTCTCTCTCACACACACACAAACACAATGTACTCTTCTGATCTTACTGGTACTCGACTCTTCTTTCTGCGCCATATTTGGTGGTTCCTCATACCTTGTCTAACATCTTCCAAGGCCTGCTATACGTTACCTTTAATGCTCACTGTCTTCAGTATATACATTTATTCTTTTGTTTTGAATGTTTTTATTGTAGTAAAATACACACAAAAGTTACTATTTTTATACATTTATTCTTTTCATTACCTTATGTAAGTATGTGAATTGACATTTTGTTTGCAAATTTTTATCTAACATTTCACCTTCTTCAGCACCATGTTTTAAAATCTATGTGATGCTCCCATTTCATTGTCTATTACAAGAAATTTAATGTGTCAAAAACTGAATATATTCTCTTTCCTTCCAAACAGTTACCTTTTAGCTATGTTTAATGTTAACATTAAATTGCAGCTTTGTACTCCTTTTCAAATTAATTTATTAATTTCTCCTTCCTTCTTTTCTTTCTTTTTTTCTGTTTAGGACTCTACATGAAAGTAACATCAGGGCTTACAAATTTTTCCTCTTCTTGGTTTCTTGGATTTATGTCTTCACTTAGATTTCCATAGCAACCGGTCAATACTTTTACATCTAAATTCCTATAGTACATTTTTAGTTATTATTTCTCTCTTAAATATCTTTTTCCCTACTCTTTGCCAATATACTAAAATAATTTCCCCAAAGATTTTCATGATATTGTTCACCTTGTCAGGAGTCTATCATTGTAAGCTCTTGCATATCAAATCCCAAATTGTGGATCTGGTCTTTAAGGTGATCCATTTATTTTAATTCTAATTCTTCAATCTCAGAAATGTTGATAATTTCTACTCTGAAGGAGGAAGCTTTGATCCATCCAGTTTAACCTACTTGCCAAGCAAACACAACTTCCTTCTTTCCATCTGATTTTGCATATGCTACTATTCTTATCTGGGATACCATCTGCAGCATTTCAGATTGGAGGGAAGGAACTTCTGCCAACACACACTCACAGCCCAAAGTCTCTGAAGATTGAACTAACTTCCTAGTAATATGAGGAGAAAATTATTTTTAATAAGCCCTTCCCACCTCCCAAAAAGACACATTGTATCACAAGTAACATGATCACACAGACCTAGAACAGATGCAGCATAGAATTATACTCAATTTCCTCTACTACAGTGCCTGGTACATAAGAAGTGCACAATAGATTATGGCTAAAAAACTCTTAATTTGATTTTCTACTGATACCTCTTTTTAAAATTATAATTATATAGGCTTGAGAATATGAAATTTACTGTACCCATAATTCTGCATGTCCACTATGTTCTCTAGTTTACATAGGAAATGATCTTTAACATATTTAATCACACACACAACTACCTAGCACTCACTTCTTTCCAGTTACTCCTGCAGAAAACAAAAACAAAATACTTGCCTATGTATTACCTTCCTTGGAAAAACATGTCAAATTTAGTAAGATATTTTAATACTTATAAATATATAAATATTTAGATAAAATTGTACATAGAGAAAGTACCTAGGAGATATGTTTTAATAAACTGATGTCAACTTGCTGCATAATATTTTCAGTTTAACAAATTCATTCTGTCCGTATTAGCAAAGTGATATAACTGTGGAATTTTGGGAAAGAAAATGAATTTATTCAAATAAAGTTGTAGGAGTATTTATATTACATTTTTAGATAAATATTTTTAAAAGAGCATTCTGTTCCTGTGATCCTTGTTTTATGATACTTAAAAAAACAAGTGAAATGTATAATTAATATTTAGAAGATTTTAGAGTTAGTTTTATAAAAGTTATTTCATTTTTTTATCATTGCAAAATGACACTAATATATTATCTTCATCTATTAGTTTTCCAATCTTTGAAAATCCGTATCCCATGGACATTCATGAATCACCAGTTACATGCACAGCATACTTTGCTGATTGCCCGCCAGATTTGATTCTAGTACTCTACTCTATAGGAGTCAAGCATAAAAAACAAGGATACAGTAATAAGGTAAAAGTAACAATTAAAAATAAGTTTTATTGTATTCGTATTCATATCATATGATCATACTTTTTCCTGTTATTTTATTTTCTGACTTTCCATATAAGAAGACTTGAAATAAATTCTTTCTAAGTCATAAGCTGGCATCTATAAAAGACATAACTTCTGAAATTCAGATTTCCTAAATGCTGCATAGCTTTAAGCCTGCAGAAATACAAATTTCTTATATACTAAGTATATAATTATATCCTAAGGTATACTTATCTATCATATATATTTTTATATACTTAGGGTATATTTAAATTAACATATTTGAATCATAAGATGTAACTTTTAATTATTTTAGATGAAGGATTATGTTTTAAGAAGTTTTTAAGAGTCAGCTCTTTCTAGTTAATCATTTCTTATCAGTCAGTGGTTAACAAGACATAATTATCAAAGGTCATTTGTTAAATAACTTTCTAGTGGCCGGCCCAGTGGCACAGCAGTTAAGTGCACACATTCCACTTTGGCAGCCCAGGATTCGCCAATTTGGATCCTGGGTGCAGACATGGCACCGCTTGGCAAGCCATGCTGTGGTAGACATCCCGCATATAAAGTAGAGGAAGAAGGGCATGGATGTTAGCTCAGGGCCAGTCTTCCTCAGCAAAAAGAAGAGGATTTGCAGCAGATGTTAGCTCAGGGATAATCATCCTCAAAAAAAAAAAACTTTCTAAAATTACATTTTGTTATATTTAACTACTGGAGTCAAATACTTAGAATTGTAATAGGCCCCCTGTTATGATTTCTCTTGTTTGCACAGGGCTGTTGGGATGGACAACTTTAGGGCTCGCAATTTATGTAGTATTCTGTGTTAAATGGCACCACAATAGTTTGGCAGTACACAGACAATGTGACAAATGTAGCAGCACTGTATTTGTATGATTAAAAATACTTCTTTGAGTTTTTATATGAATGGTAATATTTGTTAAAATCTATATTTTTAAAGGGGATAGAATTATGCATTTGGAATTGTTTGTTTAATGAAAGCATTAAAAGATAGCTACACACTTCATCTTTCATTACTTTATAGCTATTTATTTCTAAGTGAACCTTTTACCATTATTTTTAAATATTTTCATTTTAAATTTATAAGTCATTCAAATTAAAAAATAAAACTTATTAATTCTTCCTGGATAATCTATTTAGGAGTGGCCAATCAGTGGAGGAGCTTGGAACCTTGGAACACAAACATATCCAGAAATTATTATTACTGGGTAAGTGAGATGTGATTTGTGAGTTTATCAATTAATCAACAAAAAGATTTCATTCAATTTTTACACTTTCCCATAATTGTCCTCTAGGCAGACTGACAGTTTAAGTAAAAGTAAAAATATAACACACAGCTTCTAACCTTGATGGAAGATAGAATCAAACCATTGAAAACAAACTTATAACAAGAATAATTAAATATAGATTAGAAAAGCAGAAGAAAGTCAAAGGAAGAAAAATCATGAGAGATTAGTCAAGGAAGAATTCCTGTCAAAATCTTACATTACTAGCCTTAGAAAGGCCCTTACCAACATCTCTTGAGTCCTGCAAAATCCAGCAGTCACTGCTTTGTATCCCCATCAGGTGGTTAGTTAAAGTATGCTTCAAAACTTATGGCTCAGAAATGTCACTACTTCCTATAGCAACCCATTTCATGCTCTAATATTGAGATGAAAACAGAGACATAGTAACAGATAAAGATGAGATTTAAAAGATAATAAGGGGCTCTGCTTATGGGATATGGAGAAGATGTATTTTTCCCTATTCTTCCCACTAAGTACAACTAAAATCCCTGGATACTATATATTAAACAAACATAAAATGACTGGAAAATATGGAGAGAAGTCAGACTGGCTAGGCCCCCAAGACCCAAGGAATGACGTGATGGTCAGTTTCCTGGATTTTCTTTTTGTCTCATATATCCCAGAATCAGAGCTGAAGAAGCTAACAGCCTGGAACTATGAATGGGCACAGACAAAACACACCCAAGAAAAGCTAGCTCTCTCTAGCCAGAGGATGAGGAAAGGGGCAGCCTATCAAGACAGAAAACTTTTAGAAAATAATGTCTCTACTCTAGCTAACCAATACAGAAAAAAATCTATGGCCCTACTCCAACCCACTCCATCAAAGGCTCAGTGGGGAACCCAAACTTTCACCCTCATCAGGCTGTAACAAAGTGCCTCAACTTACCCACAAGGGGTGTGTCAATCTCTGACTCAGTGCAAAGCCTGCACAGGGAGCTAGTACTATTAACCCTGCTGGGTGGTAATGAAACCAATGACCCATGGTGTTGGAGGAGATCATGTGGGGAGCCAGAATTCCTACCACTGCCCAGCAATAATGAGGAGCCACACACCCTCCCCGTTTTGTGTCAATGGAAGTGCAGTAAGAAAGGAGAGAAATGAGAAAGAACAGGGCTGAAAAAGTACCTAAGGAAATAATGGCTGAAAACTTCCCAAATTTGGTGAAAGACATGAACCTATAGATTCCAGAAGCTAAGTGAACTGCAAGAAATCCACAACAAGACACATCATAGTCAAACTTCTGAACACTAAACACCAAGAAAAAATCATGAAACGGCAAGAGAGAAATGACACTTTACCAATAGGGAAAAACCAATTTGAATGATGGCAGATTTCTCATCAGAAACCTTGGAGGCCTGAAGGAAACCTGAATCTTTTTCAGGTGTTGAAAGAAAGGAATTGGCAACCCAGAATCCTATACCTGGCAAAAATATCCTTCAGGAATTAAGTTGAAATCAATACATTCTCAGATGAAGGAAACTAAGAGAATTTGTCAACATCAGACCTACCCTAAAAGAGTAGCTAAAGGAAGTTCTATAAACAGTAAGCAAAAATATGGGTAAATACAATAGGCTTTCCTTTCCTTGAGTTTTTAGAATTATATTTGATGGTTGAAGAAAGTATTATAGTTCCCTTGTCAGATGTGGTTCTACATATGTATAGAGGAAATATTAAAGACAACTATAAATGGGAGAGGGTAAAGTGATGTAAAAGGAGGTAAGGTTTCTATACTTCTCTCAGAATGGTAGTATGATGACACAAGTAGACTGTGACAAGTTATGAATATACAATGTAATACCTAGAGCACCCATTTGAAAAAACCTATACAAAGAGAGTTACACTCAAAAACATTATTGATGGATATAATAAAATAATTCAAGTAACCCATAAGAAGAGAAGGAAAAAAACAGTGACAAAAAAATGGAGGAAAAAAACAGAAAAGAAAAAAAATGTCAGACTTAAGCCCTAACAGATCAATGATTATATTAAATGTAAATGTTCTAAATACACCAATTCAAATGTACAGATTGGCAGAGTTAATTTAAAAATATGATCCAACTATGTTCTACTCACCATACACTCACTTCAAATATAACACTATAGTCAGGTTAAGATAAAAAGGATGAAAAAATAGTTTATAAAAGAATCAAGAAAGATATCAGAATAGTAGTCCAGACTTTGTTCTCCTACAGAGACACTGATGTAACAACATGTATGGTTCAAAAGCCTTTATGAAAACTCCAGAAACCAGGTAGGAAGTCATATCCCAGGCAAGCTCAAAGCCACAAATAGCCACATTGAAATGAGTAAAAACAGCCATTTCATTTCAACTTTGTCAGCTCCTCCCACAAATTGTCACAGCTCATGTTCAGGAGGAAAACCCAACTTGCACCTTCTCTATGAGAGGGAAATAGAGTAGAATGTCCATCCAATGTTCCTGCTTTTCAGGGAACTTCCCTAGAGACTACTTTCTATCTTATCTGAGTCAGAGTACTGAAGGAACCTGGATGCCAGGGGGTTGCACAGAACAAAAGAGAGCTCAGTGGCTTGTTGAAGTGTCAAAAAATACTGCAGACAGACAATAGAGGGAGGAAGAGACTACAAGCTCCTGAAAAAGAAACCAGAAAACCTCTCTAATTGGGGAATTATGCACATAAGCCCAGAGAAGATATATACCCATTAAAGATTTTAGAGCCTCCCAGGATCTCTGGCTGGGCTGATTGGTGGAGGTTTTCCCCCATACAAAGCCAGTCGATTAGAGGTGGCTGTATTTTCAAATGCTAAATTCAGAAGAAATAACAAGGCACACAAAGAAACAGAGAAACATGGCCCAATCAAAGGAACAAACTAAACCTCCAGAAACTAACCCTAAAGAAATGGAGATTTGTGAATTACTTAACAAGCAATTCAAAATAATTATCTTAAAGAAGCTCAGTGCACAACAAGAGAACACAGATAGACAACTAAACAAAATCAGGAAAATGCATGAAGGAAATGAGAATATTAACAAGGGAAACTATAAAAAAGAACCAAAAGGAAATTCTGGAGCAGAAGAATACAATAACTAAGTTGAAAAATTTACTAAAAGGGATCAATAGTAGACTTAATGAGTCACAAGAACGAATCAGCAAACTCAAAGATAGGTAATATGAAGTTCCCAAATCAGAGAAACAAAAGATAAAAGTAGGAAGAGAAGTAAAGAATGCCTAAAAGACTTATGGCATGTCATCAAGCAGACCAATATAAGCATTATGGAAGTTCCAGAAGGAGGAGAGAGAAGAAATGGGGCAGAGAACTTATTTGAAGAAATTATGGCTGAAAACTTCCCAAATCTGAGGAAGTAAAGGGATATCCAAATTCAAGAAGCTCATATTCTCTAATGAAGATGAGTCCAAAGATGTGTACACTGAGACAAATTATAATCAAATTGTGAAAGACAAAGAAAGAACCTTTAAAGCAGCAACAGAAAAGCAATTCATGTATATGGAAACTCCCATAAGGTTATCAGTGGAGTTCTCAGCAGTATCATTACAGGCTAGAAGAGAGTGAGATGATATATTCAAAGTGCACAGAGAAAACACAAAGCCAGCCATGAATACTATAGATGGAAAAATGTACTTCAAAAATGAAGGAGAAATAAAGACCTTCCAAGATAACAAAAGCTGAGAACATTTATCACCACTACACGTACTTACAAGAATTGCTAAAGAAAGTCCTTCAAGTTGAAATGGATGGACACTAGACAACAAAATGAAAGCATATGAAAATATAAAGCTGCCCAGAAAAAGGTAAGTACGTAGACAAAAACAGAATCTCATAACATTGTCATGGTGGTGTATAAATAATTTTAAATTCAAATGTAGAATTTAAAAGATAAAATCACTTTTAAAAAACTATAACTATAAAACTATGCTAATGGTTACAAAATATAAAAAGATGTAATTTGTGACATTGATAGCATAAAGTGGGGGAGTGTAAAGGAGTAGGGTTTTTGTATGCAATTAAAGTTAAGTGGTTATCACTTTAAAATAGATCAGTATAACTATAAGATGTTTTATGTAATACCCATGATAACCACAAAGAAAGTACCTATAGAATATGCACAAAAGAAAGTGAGAAAGGAATCAAAGTATGTCACTATGAAAAATCAATGAAACACGAAGGCAGCAAGAAAGGGAACAAGGGGCAAAATAAATACAGGGGACAGGAAACAGTTTTAAAATGGTGATAGTAAGTCCTCTTATATCTGTAATTTCTTTAAATATAAATGGATTAAACTCCCAAATCAAAAGACATAGAGTGGTTGAATGGATAAAAAAAAAAAAAGAGCCAACAATATGCTATTACATGAGACTCACTTTAGATATAAGGATGTACATAGGCTGAAAGTGAAAGGAGTCATAAAGATATTCCATGCAAATGCTAACCAAAAGAGGGTGGGATGACCATACTTTTATCAGACAAACTAGACTTTAAGCCAAAAATTGTCATAAGAGACAAGGAAGGACAGTATATAATGATAAAGTGGTCATTTCACCAGAAATATAAGTTATAAATATATGTGTACCTAACAATACAGCACCCAAATATTTAAAGCAAACAGTGACACAATTGGAGAGATAAATAGGCAGTAATAAAAAATAGTAGGAGATTTTAATACAGTACTTTCAATAATGAATAGATCACCCAGATGGAAGATCAATAAGGAAACAGAGGACTTGGACAACACCACAGGCCAATTGGACCTAACAGACATGTACAGAACACTCCATCCAACAACAGCAGAATACGCCTTCTTCTCAAGTACACATGAAACATTCTCCAGGAGAGATCATGTGTTAGACCACAAAACAAGTCTTAACAAATTTGAGAAGACTGAAATCATAACAAGTATCTTTTATAACCACAATGAAATGAAACTA